ATAGCAACCCTATGAACAAAATATTGGATGAGAAGTTGAAAAATATGACCTGAAAAATATGACAGAGATGAGACCAGAGCTCATATGACAGAATTTCGTATATTTGGTGATTTATTCACTGCTAATAGCTTCCTTTTTTAGGGCACTGTGGTGACCTGGTTCATAGGGAGGTGATTGGCTAATGCAAAAGCCATGCTTCTCTACAGTTTAAATATATCAGAGATTCCATGGGAGGATGAACAATCTTCTCCCATGTGATTTACAGCCTCAGAAACCAATGAAGGACCAACTATGAACTGATTCTTACTAAATGGCAATGAGTTGAGTTGAATGACTTCTTAAAAAATATACATGATGACTATACAGATGGATCTCTCATGATACAATGGCCAGGAATCAAATTGATGACGTCTGTGCCAAGAGATGGTGGGAAACTTCAGTATCATCAGTCAGATCAGAAGAAGACCAGAGGTCAACTGTGAAAGACTACAATGGCTCTTATGCAAACACAAACTGAAGCTGAAGAAAATTAAAACCATTCCAGGAAAGCCAAAATATGACTCTGAATTATTTCGCTTGAATTTAAGAGCCATCTCAAAAATAAATTCAATGACTAAAGACCAGTCAAATTGTGGGATGATATCAAGGACATCATACATGAAGAAATCAATGTCATTACAAGGACAAGAAAGAAAGAAAAGATCAAGTGGATGTCGGAAGAGACTCTGAACCTGCTCTCCAAAACAGAAAAGCCAACATGAAGGAAAGAAATAATAAGAGAGCTGAAGAAAATATTTCAAAGGCAGCTTGTAGAATACAAAGTAAGGTATTATATAAAGAAATGTGCAAACACCTGGAGTTAAAAAACCAAAGGGAAGAATATGCAAATGAAAAATCAAGCCTCAAGTTTCAATACTGGCAGATCAATGAGTAAAATAATGAATGATAAAAGCAATGAAAGATGGAATGAACACACATTACTGTTGTACCAAAAAGAACTGGTTGATAATGCAACATTTCAGAAAGTGGCATATAATGAAAAACCAGTGGCACTGAAGAAAGAATTCCAAGCTGCACTGAAGGTTGTTGTTGTTGTTGTTATGTGCCATCGAGTCACTGGAGACTCATAGCGGCCCTATGTATAACAGCCCTAAACTCTGCTCTGTCCTGTAACAATTGCACTGTCTCCTATACACCCATTCCAATTACCCCAGTCACTGAATCAATCCACCTCATAGAGGGCCTTCCCCTACTGCAC